ACTTCGATCAAATAGACAATTAGTTCTGACATTGCCTTGAGAAAACATGGCAGCTGTACTTTCAAAAAGCTTCAACTATGGCACACACATCGGCACTCTAAAGATTTCTATCTTGTCGGTAGTTACTGAAAAAAAAAAGCTGAAAGCTTTCTAACATCCTCAAACCTGAAGCAGGTATAGCTGCTTAACACATTTTACATTTGTCAGTAACATTCAAACACAGTTCTGCAATTCACAGGTTTTTCAGTGCAGCAGCACAATCTTTAATGTGTTTTTTCTTCTTCCAGGGGTCTTAAAAGAGATAAATGAAAAGTACAAGAGAATATAGAGGGGCATTTGCAGAGAGTATGCAGAGTATTAACAAATACAAATCCATTGCCAAAGAATTCTATTATGCCTCTGCCCACCATCATTCTTTATGTTTTTGCATTGTGTTACACAGCTTTCTTTGATTTGAAAGACTTGAAGACATTTTTTCTTATTCTTTTTAGGTTTAAATAACATTTGCAAATAATTTTGTTTTATTGAGCTATGATTTGAGATTATATTATGTATTTGTGTATTATTTAAGTGTCAATGCAGTTGTTTCCAATTATAGTGTTCTGAAGAAGGGAATGTGAAAATTGAGCATTTTTCGAAAACAAGTTTTCCCATTTTTGCTCCCTTGAAAATTGAGCTAATGAGATTCCACTGTATTGACAATATTTCAGAAGATTCAGGCATGCATTTCAATTTTGCCTACAATGACATGCAGCAGCAGCAGGAATTATAATTAACTTTGATATTTACTTCTACTGCCAGGCCATGAAAAGGGAAACATTTAATACTTAATCCCTCGTTCATTAGCTACAACAGTGCTGCACAACTTGTAAGGAATACAATAAAGGGACAATCATTTGAGAAAAATAAAATCTGTAATAATTCCTCTTTCAGTAATTACAAATAATGTATCACATCTACATTTGTGAACAGGTCATCACTATTTCATAGTTCACATAAAGTTATATAAATTAACATTTTAATGAGAACAATAACCCAGACTTACTTGAAGCATTTACAAGTATAAAAACTATGTATTCAACAATAATGTTCGTAATTGTTAAGGATACAATTGGAATTATATATAATATCAAAATAGTTTCTTCACTTTCTTTTGAACAAAATACTTTTTAATTAGTGCACTAAAGATAAACTAGTATTCATAGAATTAATTACAACAATTATTAAAAGGTAGAATCAATTTCAATGTCTTTATAGCACTAAATACTCAAGAAACAATTAACAGAGTTGATTAAATTCATAAGTCATGGGGAATTCTTTCTGATAAGTCAGTGCCCTCCAGATAAGTTATTATTAATTCACATTTACCCTTCCAGAAATACAGCTGAAAATTATGATGTGACAAATATACAATTAAAAAAAAAAATTATATATATATATATATATATATATATATATATATATATATAAAATACCACACTTATCAAGCCCAAGATAAAGTAACAAAATTATCAATGTGCAATGTATTATATTTTTCAAATTATCAATGTGTTACATTGGTTCTAGAAAAAAATGTGCTTCCTTAACTAAATATTATAAAACAGTAATGGATTATCCAATAAGCTTTGAAGCAATGTCATATTTTTTATATTACTGAAATACAGACATTTACTAGCTGCATTACAAATAGAATTTGAAACGACGATGAAAACTTGCCATCTGTTTAAAATAACATTTTCTAGCTCACAATTATCATATTTACCTAAATAATAGACGAGTATTTTCCTAAATACCTTATCTGAAAAATTAGGGGTCATCTTATATTCAAAATTAAACCTAGTTGGGTATGGCCCTTAGTGTAGTTGTCCGACCGTGGGCATTCCGCGGGTTCAATCCCTGGTGGTTGCCCCATGTTATATATGTAGGGAGTGGATGGAATGCCAGGCAGGTCAAGGGGTACAGCTTCTTTGAAGCTGGCCCCTGAGGGGAACAAACAGAGGTTTTAGATTATGCATAGTTGTTGGGATCAAAGTTTTTAAATTGCCTTTTTGTGTCACAAAATCTATCATAAGCTGCACAGGAAATAATAAACTGTATGTATCTTCAGGGTAGTTCAAAAAAGTATGCAATGGTCAATATGGACCATTGTATACTTTAATACATATTTGCATACAATAACAGGTTTTTAGAGAAAAAAATGTCAAAAAGTTGTTTGCTCTGTTTAATTCTGAAGTAAAAAAGTGTTTATCATGATATGAACTGTACTCTATCTTATCTCCCTTTCTCCACAAAACACACTCTCTTTTGAAAGCTGCAGCCTTGAAGATGTGTATGTTTGAAGACATGTGAAGTTAGATACTTCTTTCATGGTAATTGCTCCCAATACATACCGTATTTACCTGAATATATGACTAGGATTTTTCCGAAATATCTCAGTCAAAAAATGCGGGATTGTCTTATACTCACAGATTAAGCCTAGTCGGTTAGGATTTACATTTTTACATTGGCATTCCATGTAACAAAACTCGTAAATGTTACTGTAACAATGAACTGCGAAGACAGTAAAAATATCTTGCAGACGTAATTATAATTGCGTTAGTATTCTCGGCACCCACAGCAAATTTGTTGGGCAATTCAAACAGATATTTTTCAATGGGCCGGTAAAGAGAATCTCTAACTGAATGGTATAGTATAAAATGTAACGTCACTTACAAATGAATGCCAAGAGTTCGTTACACAATGCAGGTTTAACGAGGACCCGTGTAATCTCAGTTCAATGCCCGGTGAATAGGAATTTGCCATTTGAACACAAACAGAGGCCATCAGCAAGTGCGGGATGGATATTATAACTGCATGTTTTCTTGAGATTGGGAATATCTACCCCCACTCCTTTACTAACATTAGTTGAATTAAGAATGATAGCAATGAGGGTTGTAGACAAAACTTGGTAACCAGAAATGTTCACTCCCATGTATGAGAACCTATATTGTATCAAAAAATGAACTACAAATTCGATGTAAAATTCCTTTTGTCAAAATAACCAAACTTCCCACTCCTCTCAAGACAGCTCAAGAAAACGTGCACAGATGATAGAAAATCTGGCTACAGAAGGGAATGTTCTTAGATGGCATCTGATGAAAGACAACACAAAATTTAGTCTGCAAAACTTTCAAGTCAGAAAATGTCACTGCATGGAAGGAGGACTAAAAAGAAAGAAACATTGATACAAGTGAAGATGATATTAAGGAACAAGAAAATAATAGTTCAGCAATAACTCTTTAACATTTTCATGAACAAGGCAATTTGCTAGTAAATTTTGTAATTTTATTTTGACTAAATAGTAAGAATTAGTTACAAATTTTTAAAATTCTCAGGTCTCTTTGAAATTAAGGGGTCAACTTAAATTCAGATAAATACGGTATTTCTCAAATAATTTACGCATGTTTCTGTTATGAATATTTTGCCAAACTCTACTTCTAAAGGAATGGATAGTGAAGTGGAGGAAATGACACACTAGACTGATTGATTGACTAGTGTTTCCAGGCAGGTCAACTGCTAAGGTCATTAGTCACACACGTGTAGTGCATGCTTCATAACAGGAGGCAGTGGTGATATTAGATAGAGATTAGATAATTTCCTAATCTTTAGAGCTGGGGTTAGCTTGTGGAAAATTTAGTTGATTTTTATACTACAATGCTACGTATTTTAAAATGTAAGACAGGGTTTTCATTAACTACAGAAACATTCTTTGGACTACCCCAGTGTCACGTGTTACATTCCTTTTAGTATCATCCTGCATAATATCTATTTTGGTGGATATTTTCTTGGTGCTCGTGATGGATATTATGAGTGATTTAGACCAACCTTTTTTAACAGGCAAGTTCAGAAAGAATGGCTTTGTTGAATTAAGTGAAACATAATTAGAAATGGATGAAAATCACGGTTGAGAGAGAGCTAAGGTTTGGAGATCTTTGGGTTCGACGCTCACAACTCAACACAGACATTAAACATGAAAATTTCATGTTTATAGTAGTTAACGAAACAGAAGCCAAAAATAACAGTGGTTCAGGAAGAAAATTGGAGCCAGTTCTTAGTTAGCATCATAAGAAAGACAAAGTGCAAATTCAATGCTCAAAACTTTCAGGAGAAGGTAATGATGAAAACAGTAATGATTACTAATAGTAAGAAAATTGATATTTTGATACTATCTCATCAACAAGACAATTTGCAGTTTTATTGTGACTGAACTATATCTAGTTAGAACTATATAGATCTAGTTATAAATGAAAACAATTCTCAGGAGGCCTCTTCAAAATTAGATGGTTGTCTTACAGTCCAAGTCATCTTAATAGTCAGGTAATTATGGTAAATCTAGTTTATCTAAAAAAACCAACTATCAGAGAATTACTGAAATAGTAATTTAGAATGAATAAAAAAGCATTAAGAATAATTGAAAACCTAATGAAGTTTATGTGGAACAAGTATTCAAATAAACAAATTGGCTTTCATATTAATGAAGAGTATTATTTAAAATAATACTATATCATATGTAGTTACTCATGACAAATCACAATTATTCAAAGCAATAAATTATTACAATTTGTCACTGTTAATAACATACTAAGGGAAAACTGTGTGAACTTGACACATCCAAAAATAATTCTAGCGGTTTAAGAGAAGCACAAAATTAAAGACCCACAAAGTACACAAGAATCACAATAAATAATATAATCTCATTAACAAGTTAGAGAGATATGTAATGGAGTCAAAAACTTCTCAGTAATCATACACAAAAAACTTGTACACCCTCAAAACTAATCAAGCGTTCAGAATAAAATTTATACTAATTCATTTGCCTAAAAATAATAGGTACCAAAGAAAACAACATCAATATCTATCACTTCTTTAAAAAAACAAACAAAAAAAACAACATATACAATATTGCAAATAACTCCCAAATTTTGTAATCTTACAGCACAATTATTAATGTGTTATAATACCTGAAGAATCCAAAGAACAGTTCTGATAAGTAGGAGAACTTGACATTTGAACAATACTGTAATTGCTGTGAGGAGGAGACATTGTTGCAGGAGCAGCAGGAATAGATGACATCGATAGTCGTTCTGAATCGCACAAAACACTCTCTGTGAAGAAATACAAAAATCAGATTAGAAACTAACACAACAAATAATCGTCAAGACACAAGAAAAAATGACAAGCCTCCAAAATTATCATTTTTGAGTTCAGGAAAGAAATTGTTTACAAGGTCATTTTTACCAATATATAATTTCATTAATATAATCTAATCTGATCTGATTAAGATATACAAGACAGCCAATATACATGGAAAACACTGGCTTTCAGCATAAAATATTAGCCTCAGCACAAGGGAGGAAGAAAAAAAAAGTACACCTTTTTTATGTATAACTTTTCAATTTCAAGTTAACATGAAAAAGTTATTTTTTAATAACTTTATTCTTTATTTAAGCATCATTATAATTAACTTATGGAGTTATTTAAAATAAGGAGTTATCATTATTAAAATATCTGAGATTAACTGCACTGACAGAGCCAACCAGTGGACTGAAGGATATTTTGATGGTAAGCCGAACAATCCGGACATTTTTGTATCTTTTGGTTTGTATGACAAATATCCATAAACTTATTTCAAATAAGCAGGGCCAAATATCACACTAAAATGTGTGATGTATAGTAAATTCAATTGGTTTGTAGAAGCTATTGTCAATAATCTTCTTTATACATTTTATTACATTAAGTAAGGCATATAATTTTAATGAAACGGTTCTCTGATCATTATTTCGTTAACATATTCACGTTAAAAAAGAAAAAAAGAAAGATGAATGCAGGATTTAAAATCTTTAATTTAGTTATCCATAAGGACCAAACTGTTTGAGACCACTGAATTTAATTTAAGTACAACCTACCATACAATAATTCACATGACACTCGTTTTAATAAAAATCTCTTTCCATATTTTCTTTTAATAGTAATTACATAATTTGTAACATAATTAGGAAGTAGCAAGGTAAGCAGATACATTCAATTACCATTACATCCCCACGCCAAACTACGTTCTTCTTCTGTATCTGACAGGTCTACCCCTCTAGTGTCCAGAGAAGGTAAAGACAGCTCCAGCCAGGGGAAATCGGCATCCTCTGACACGTCTGAGCGAAGAGAGCCCAAGTTATTCTCATCTGCAACAAATGATTTCAACAACAATGACCCAGGGCCACACCACAATTCAACACAAAATCACAGACCAAAAAACAACCACCACACGACCACTTGTGGTGTGTGTGCGCACGTGAGTGTGTGTGC